TGAAGACCAGAAGATATCGCAAGAAGGTAAGAAAATTAACCAGCAATCCTGATGTGAGCAAAGATATAGCAGAATCCTCAAAATGAGAGAACTGCAAAGATGCCTCATTGTGCTCAGAAAAAATGCAGAGAGACAATTAGGGTAGGTCTAGGGTGTGGCTACAGAGGTGGATGAATAAAGTGAAATGGAGACAGGGAAAGGCAGAGGACTCCTCAGGTTCTAGAGAATACAGTGATTAAGACTTAGTCACTTTTCTGAGATGTCTAATAAGATTCATATAGCCTCTGTTTCGATGATAGATCATTAAGTGCTTTAAATAAAACTGATGTAAACCAACTTCTTTATTTCATGAAACAACCTAGCAATGGTAAAGATACTCTTTATAATCCTCACATGAGATAATGTCCTTTACATTCCTCACATGAGATAAAGGATTGAGACTCCTTTCTGCAAATGATAGACAAAACTAGTTTTTAAGGTGTGCCCATAGGATCTACATAGCACTCTTGGTTAATAGAAACCAACACTACTCAAACTTTAATGTGCATACAAGTCACCTGAGGAACTTGTTAAAATGCAGATTCTAGTTTAGTAGGTCTGAAATGGGCCCTGCATTTCTGCTGGTTTCAAAGTGATGCTGATAGATGCTTGCTGGTCAGTGGGATGAACCAGATTAAGTATTTTCCTCTCTAAAGATCCTTAAAAGCATGGTCCATTTGGAAGTGATCTTCCCATCTAGGAGATGAAGAGCCAATGGTGAATTTGTCATTTCCATTTTTGGGAACTATGACAATGGCCAATGGGATATGATGAATACCCAGGTCATGACAGGGAATCAATACCTTGTAACAGAAACATGAGATAGTTCACATCCATAAGAATAAACGGGCCAGGCACAGTGGCTCAGCCTGTAATCCCAGCACTTTGGGAGGCTGAGGTGAGAGTACTGCCTGAGCCTGGGGATTCAAGACCAGCCTGGGCAACTTGGTGAGACCTTGTCTCTACAATAAATCACCAAAAAACTAGCCGGGAGTGGTGGCATGTCTGTCTGTAGTTCCAGTTACTTGGAAGGCTGAGGAGGGATTGTCTGAGCCCAGCAGGTCGAGGCTGTGGTGGCTGTGAGCATGCCACTGCACTCCAGCCTGGGTGACAGAGTGAGACTCCAACACACACACAAAAAAGGGATGAGCTGTTGATATGCCCAACAGGAAGGAATCCCAAAATAATGTATAAAGATGCCTGTCAGAAAGAATATATACCACATGAATTCTTTTACATACACCTCTAGAAAACACATAGTGATAAGAGCAAGAGTTGCTAGGAGTAAAAGAGATGGGTGGGTAAAAGAATTTCCAAAAGGCATGGGGAAATTTTAGGGGTGATTAATGTAGGTTCATTATCTTCATGTGAGGATAGCTTCATCACATATATATGACTTATTAAATTGCATAATTTAGATATGTTTGTCTAATTTTTGTATTAGATGCTAATAAGTCATTGTAGCTAACATTTGTAGAGTGCCTACTGTATGCCGAACACTGTTTTAAGAATTTTACATTTATTAACTCACTTCATAAACATTTTGAGGTCAGGAAAGTGGCTTTGCTTTTCTTGGCTTCAATTATCCACTGTATAGTACAATTACACCTAAATAAAACTGTTTTTTAAAAAAATCTAACTACACTCTTAAAAATTCAACAAGCAAGGCTTCACTTGTAAATATTATTCTTGTACATGTAAAATCCAAACAAACGGTAAGATAAAAAATATTATAATAGCAATATCTTATTTGATTGCGTTTAATTCAATTAGTATTTTTGTATACTAGAATGACTGAAATACAAAGTAATATAAATTTATAGTTAGAATGACTGAAATACAAAGTAATATAAATTTATAGTTAATATGCTATACTGAAACAAAGTTACAGCTACTGTATTTTCAAATATATTTTCAATTTTTTATAGATTTCAATAATCATATGGAGAAAGATTAATAGAAAAAAGATTTAACCTAATTTCCAAACACAATGAAGAAAGGAAACTACTACTATTTGCAGATGATAAAATTATCCACATAAAAAAGATAATTGACATATTAAAAGTAAAAGGTTTAAAGGCTGCACCACAGAAAATCAATAGATAAAAAGTCAGCAGAAGCCTTGTATAATATTAGCAATAAGCAATTAACCTAGAATATAATTTAAGTACTACTTTGTACATAGCAGCAAAAGCTACAAGACCGATGTGAATCTTAAATCTTTAAGTTATAAATCTTTACTGAAGGACATAAAAGACATAAATGGAGTTATACCATGTTCATTCATAAAAAGCCTTGACATCAGAAATATGACCATTCTCCCCAAATTGATCTATAAATTCAGTGTAGCTCTTTTCAAATGAAATCCCACGAAAATTATTTAGAAATCTGACAGCTGATCCAAAAATTTATTGGAGAGTATTGGGCTTCAAGATAGCCAAGACAACTGTGAATAACAATAACAATGACAGTGCTGTAATGTTCATCCTATCAGACAGTATGTTACTGTAAACTACATATAATTAAAGTGATAGAGCTAGATATGGTATTAGTGAAGATCATACAGAAATATTTACAAGTAATATAAGAATCTGATATATGATAGATATAAAAGATATACTTTTTAAATAAAGGGAGAACCATGTAAACTGGGTATGAGTACTGAAAATTGAGATAGAGACCACTAACTTTTATACAAAAATACATTCCTCAATGGCTTAAAGATTAAAAAGTGAAAAATATATTTAGAAGAAAACATAGGTGAATATCTTTATGACGTTGAGAAGAGGATTTATGGCATAAAAAGCACAAACCATGAAGACAATATTAAAATAAAAAACTTTTACATGACAAAAATCATGAATTGAAAATGTAAGCTACAAACAGAAGATATTTGCAACTTATATAAAGTCAAGGGGATAATATCAAGAATATGAAACTATTACCTCAATTCACAGGAAAAAGGTTAGAACCACACTAGAAAAATTGGCAAAGAATATGAATAAGCAATACACAGCAGGGGAAACTAAATAGTCATTAAGTACAGGAAAAGACCACCAACCTAAATAACAATCAAACAAATTTAAAAACATCAAAGATGTTATTTCAAACTCATCAGATTGACAACAGTCCAATAAATCAAATTATTGGTAAGAATATGGAACAATAGGAACTAATATATTGCCCATGGGAGACCAAATTGGTACAAGCATTTTTGCTGAACAATTTTGAAATATCTAGGTTACAATGGAAAACGTGAACGTCTCCCATTTCTTTCCCACAGATTCATTTTTAGTGATATGACCAACAGAATGTTCACACATTTCAGGAGAATATTTATGTGTTATTTGTATACTTATCTATTAATAAGAAACGCTATATAATTAAAAATTTAAGTTAAGTGTGAAGCATAAAGCACATAAGCAATATTGCCTTTAACATCTGTAGTAGGTTAAAAGTAATTTTAAGGATCTCTATTCAAGTGCCCTTTAGTCACAAAAACAGTAGTAATGATGATCTGTTTACAAATAATTCTCTACAACCTATACCTAGTAAGTCAGAGCTTTTATTGCTTCTGTCCTGGAAAGTGTCCTGTAAATGGCTTTAACTCTGTAATGTTGACTCAAAACTGGTGAAAAAGTAATAGAACTCCTTTTGACTCAAAAAAAGTGAAAAAGCAATAGAACTCCTTTTTAAATTGACTCTAATCTCAATACCCTCTTAACTTTTAATCTCATTAATCTTATAAATATCTACAACCAACAGGAAAATAAAACACACAACATCCAGCACCCTTTAAGGACTATAAAGGGAGAAGCTTGAAAACCTAAAGCTTATTTTCCTGCCTCTGCTAAAACCATCACCCTCTCCACTCCAGCCCATGGGTTCTGGTTAAAAATCTCAAGCCAACAGGATTGCCTGAGCCCAGGGGTTCAGCCTGCGCTCAGGTCTGGCAACTTGGTGAGACCTTGTCTCTACAAGGTATCAAAAATTAGCCATGCGTGGTAGCGCGCACCTATAGTTCTGGCTACTTGGAAGGCTGAGGTGGAAGGATCGCCTGAGCCTAGCAGGTTGACACTGGGGTAGCTGTAAGCATGTTGCTGTACTCCAGTTGGGCAACAGAGTGAGAGTCTGACTAAAAAAAAAAAAAAAAAATCTCCGTATTAGATGCTATCCAAAGTCAGTCATCATAGCTAACATTTTGAAGACTGCCCACTACCTGTTGAACACTGTTTTAAGGACTTTACATTTATTAACACACTTCATCTTCATAAATACTTTGAGGTCAGAAAAGTGGTTTTGCTTTTCTCGTTATCAGTTACCCATGGTACTGTACATTCTGAGAAAGACCACATTCACATAACTTTTATTATAGCATAGTCATATTTGTTCCACTTTATTATTAGTTCTTGTTGTTAATCTCTTACTGTGCCTAATTTATAAATTAAACTTTATTAGAGGTATGTATGTATAGGCAAAAACATTACATACAGGATTTGGACCTATCCTCAGTTTCAGGCATCTGATGGGGGTCTTAAAACATATCCCTTGCAAACAGAGGGGACTATTTACTGTATTTCCAGTTTCCAGACAAGCAAATTAAAGCATACAAAGGGTAATTTGCCTATAAATAGCTAGGAAGTAGCAAAGATAAGATTAAAATCCAAGCTGTTTGGCTCCAGAACATACACTCTTAATCAGAAATCTTTGCTAGCTAATTGGACAATCAATTAGAAAAGGTTTGTCATGAAAGCTTAATCTGAGAGTTACAAGTAAGTATTTTCTAAATGAGATTGAAAGAAAAAAAGGATAGAACAAGAATCTCCAAAGCATTTTTGTCTTTCATTGCCAGCAAAACATTTTAAAAAACTATTGATTCTATTTCCTGCTTTGAAAACAGTTCCATTTTCCATTGCTCATGCATTTAAGATGGTTTCCTTATAATATAATAATCAGTGCACTGTTTCTTTCAACTTCTTTATTAAGTTGGTTGCAAAAAAGATATACATTCTCATATTGACAATTCTTGTCATGAATAAAAGCAACAAAAATAAAGCAACAGTAAAGATGTGCTTCACATATAAACAATCATGTTGTAAGAATAAGAAATCTGGATTCCCGTACAACAAAAAGATTAGAAAGCAAAACATGAGTAAGCCCGTATTGTGAGTATACCTAAATGTGTGCAAAGAAAATACACCCATATTATACCCTGCTTAGGTTCCTTTGTTTACGATGCATAATTCCTTATTCATTCGTGAAATAAGAATGAACATTAAGATACATGAAATATGAATTTTATTTTCACAATATCAATACTAAACTCAAAATAGCAACTTCATTGACTCTAAATGTTAAGTTTTCAAACTTGAAAGGCAATCAATTTTTTTAATCCTCTGAATAGGGTCTGCAAAAACAGGTGGGTTATTTTGTTCTGCTTACAAGGAGACTAGGACTCAGTCTGTGCTTTAATAGCATGAGCAACAAAGGACAGCAAACAAATATCACTGACAGTAATGCCCATACATACATAATATCTAGCTGAGCCATGTTCTTCCTATTTATACAGCAAGCCTATTAAGCCACCAGCATATAATAGAAGCTTCTACCTCATGCAACATCATTACTAAATTAACTAACTACACATCTGTAAGAATTTCCAAATCCCTGCTCACAACACAATTTTAGTACACCTATTAAGTATAGCAGGTCATTTTAAAAAATAGAAATAAAACATACAAGTCTTTGCAATTAAACATTTTTCATAGCATGAACAATGTTAGATAAAATTTTGAACTAAATATTTTTTTTCTAAATACAACTTACTTAAAAGGTTTTCTTAAGAAAAGACAGTTCTTAGGTATATGATCTGTTCAAACTTACAGTAGTGTATATTCCAAATAAAGGTTTTTTTTTCCTCCAATTAAGATGTAACAATATAACTCTTTTCTGAGTGAAGACACATTTGTTAAGGCTTAGGGTGTAAACACTTTGGAAGGCAAACAGCTTAGTGAAAATATTACCATTTAAAAATGTGTATCACCTTATAACAAGCCCCCTGAACTTTCAAATTTACATGTGAGAATACATTTACATCTCAAATTTCTAGAAAGGCACAGGCTTTAATGTAAAAAAGCAGCAAAATTTTAAACCCACCAATTTATTTAAAAAGCCATCACTTTTATTAGAAACAAATAATGCTTCTCAAGATGTTGGCAACATGTCATAGTATCATCATATGTTTCATACAGTGTATTTCTCCCTTTAATTATATTCCGGAAGGAGGTGGAATACCTCCTTGGCTATGGGAGGCAGAAGTGTTTGATGGACTGTGTAAGCTGGTCTCCTTGTACACAAACCAAGCATTTCCTCCCCAAAGTATCAGATTCAGAAAGCCAAAGATCTATGGAAAAGAAAAAGAAATATGAAAATCTAACACCTACCTAAAAATTTATACCCTACTTAAAAATCTCAATTTTCCTTTAAATATTTGATGTTTTCAGGCAGTTACACCATTATTTCATTTAAGGTTTATTACTACATACAAAGTGAAACAAAAAAGGATGATTTTATATATCAGTTTACAAAACTTGGATATATAATGACTTATTCCCAATGAAGTAAAGCTAAACCTCAATCTGTAACATATAAAATCACTACTAAAAGAAAATTTATTTTTGCATGCTTGTCAGTACCAAAAAGATGGGATTAAATTTGGGAAGACTGAAATCTTCCTTTTATTACTTTGTATTTAGACTGCAGTGCTTCAGGGTGAAGAGCAGCATTAGGAATTGTCTCCTTACTTTGAGGGTTTTCCCTTTCCTCCCTCTTGGAATGGTCACGAACTGCCCTCTCTGCCTTCTCCTAGTTATCTCCTCTCCCCTACTACCATCTTTTTTACTCCAATCCAACAGTTGCGCCAGAAAAGATGAGTCACAGAACTTTACTTCCCATTCCGCATTAGTCAACCTAAAAGAAATTAATCTTCCCAGATATGAATCTGACTAGATGAAAAAACAGCTCAGAGATGAACTACCTGAAGCTACCTTATTTTAACAGTCCATTATAAATAATAATAATAACAATAGTGACATATGAAGTAAGAGTGGGGCAAAAGGCTTAAGAGAACTACATATTACCGAAGGCCAAATGCTTTACATCTTTTTGTGTATTTGAATACAAAAATTACATTTCTGATATTGTCCAGCTCAAAGCACTGTCAAAATAAATGTAAAAAATTGACTTTTTTAAAAGTTTATAAAAAAAAATTTAAACAAAATTCTTTATAAGCCAGTACTAACTTCATCTACTGGAAAAACATTTTCTTGAAAAGATATGAGACCTCCCTCAACACAATATGTTCAGTATATTAATAATATTTTAACAATAAATTTATTTTGGTAAGATAGCAGACAGTATTATATTTAACACTTTATATAGACTACATTTTACAGATTATATAGAAACCATAAAAGTATTACTTTCATATACTCAGAGCAAGTCAGATCGGGCTCAAATTTTGGCTTGCCAATTACTAGTTGTGTCAACCTTGGGCAAATTAACATTTGAGCTACATTTTTTCCCCAGTTGTAAAATGAGGATAATAACACCTTCCGCATTCCTCTTAGGAGGATTAGTTTAAACAAGATATGAGTGTAAAGGCCTTAACACAATGGCACAAAATTTCAATAAATGTTAGCAATTATTATTACCCGTCTTTTAGATAAAAGTCCTGTCTCATCAATTTGAATATAAAGACTGAATCATGCCCTTGTTTACAGATAGTGATTTTCTTTTTTTTTATTCCTCCCACCCCATATTTGATAATGATTTCCTTAACAAACTTTTCTTCACTGTTATAAAGATAAACACTGTATTGTAACTAGAAAATAAAAAAATAAATTAAATAAATAAAAACAATAAAAACTGGTTAGTAAAAATAACCATTATATTCATCCAGACATTTATTGAAAGCTACTGCTTTCTTAAGGTACTAGTACAGATTTTCTAATACATGAAATAAAAATGTTACAAATAACGCATACGTACCACAGATACATTTAGGGATCCCATACTGGTCACAGAGCCAAAATGACATGCCACTCCCACCTTCTTACAAGGCGCAAGTTCCTGAACAATACTGTGACCAGTAGCTACCTTAATATCTGTAAGAGCTTTAGCCCAGGCTGAAGTGCTCACCAACCACAAAAAAGTGGCAACAACTGTAACAACAAAGTCCTAGAGCAAAAATAAGTATGAGTTAGTGGACAGTTAATTGAAAAATATGAAATTTCAAATCTATGATGAAAAAATTGAGATTACATTTAACCATATGGTACTGAGAAATGGCCTCCATGATATACATTATAAAGAAGGTCACAGCATAGTAAGCATTGCTGCTTACTGTTACTAGCACAGTGCCTGAGATACAAAAGTAAACAAGACTCAGTCATCTCAGAAGTCTAAGGTATTTATACCAGACACCAAAGCTTTACATGGCCTTCACCATAATCTTACCTCAGTCGCTTACTCCCAGGATAGTTCCTTGAGCTCCTGACATCACCAATAACTGTATCCCTCCATAATCTGTTTTCATCATCCCACTCTAACAAATCACCTCTTTCCAGCTTATTCGCTCTCTCTGGCACCCCAATCTCCAAAAAATTATTTGACTCCACCAAGACCTACAATCTGATCCTGCCACTTTTTTACTGTCTTACAATTTCAGTAATGTCGTTACTTCTTTTCATCACTTTATTATTTCATTTGAGTGCCTTGCATAAACTCTTTAACTCCCTCATCCTTCTCCTGGTTCCTTACACTGTTCTGGCAACACTAACTTTAGTCAAACCTGATTCTCCATGAGATGGAAAATGAAATGGTAAAAAATGCCCAACAGGATAACTTGTTTCTATTTTAAATTCATAATCACAAATTTTAAGAATGCTCATTATATTAAGGAAAAGACAATAACAGCAACAAAAATCTCTCAAGACACCTTATCTCTAGTAACTTTCCACTGGATCTTTTGCTGTTTATTACACTTCCAAGAATAAAATGGATGGCTTTATTATTTTAGATGTAAGTCCAATCTTGTTTTGTTTTCCTTCAAATTAATGACGAGTGGGAATAATGCAAAATTTGTATCTTTTTGATGTTATATACACTAAACACATGGGAACACACAAGGACAGGAGCTCTTATATATCTGCAGCAAAAATCTCTCTAAGTTTACAATAGGTTTTGGAACTTACCACAGAAGCGTTTTGTTTTTTAATAAACCTGGTAGTTTTTAATTATTTTGCCAGCTGTCTTTTAGCCATTTTTTCAGGATAAATACCAGTGATCTCTTATGAGTTACAGAAACTATGCCATATAGCTCGTCACCTGGTCAAGACGGCATTGAGCAAATGCTTGAGATTAGAGGACTAAATATACAAACATGGAGGTATTTGCATTTGAGCTCTCCACAGCTATTTTCCTTTTTTAAAAAATGTAGATAAAAGAGAAAGGGCTAGAAATATTATTGCTTACATTTTCTGCACTGTAGGAGTAACTCCTCCTCTCCCCCCCTTTTTTTGAGTTGGAGTCTTACTGTCGCCCAGGCTGGAGTGCAGTGACAGGTTCATGACCACTGCAACCTCGACCTGCTGGGCTCAGATCCTTCTGACTCAGTCTTCCAAGTGGCTGGAACAACAGATGCATACCACCACACCTGGCTAATTATTTAGATTTATGGTAGAACTGTTGCTTGGGCTGGTCTCAAACCCTGGGCTCAGGCAATCCTCTTGCTTTCACCTCTCAAAGTCCTGGGATTACAGGCATGAGCCACCATGGCCTTTTTTACTGCTGTATTTTGCTATGCATTCTGCTGTAGGCAGATAGTTTCTAAATACTTTCTAGAAATACAATGCCTTTTGGAGAACTAATAAATAATATGAGGTCATATCACACATTAAAAAAGTTCTCTCTAGGCTAAAGTTCATAGTTTTGATCAATATATGTAAAATCCTTTCAGTTTTCAGGTATTTTCTTCTTTCCAAATTACCGTTGTTTTGTTTTTGTTTTCTAGTTATGCTCTTTAAATCCACTTTGCTGATGGCTTAAAGTATGACATCCTTGTATTTCAAAAGCAGGAACTTTTCTGAAATGGTGCACACAGTAATCCCAGGGTAAAGGAAATTCTGGTCCTTGCAAATAGTATTTGTTCTGTTCATAACTCCAGTCACACTACACTCTAAGTGACCAGTGCCACCTGGAGTTCTGCCGTGCATAACCCACAGCTGCCTACCACAGTTCCACTTCTCCCAATAATTCAAGATATGGTTCATAACAGATTTTAGAATTTGGGATGCCTTATTTTTGTTTGGTTTCATTTTCTTTTCTTTTTTTTTTTTGAGTTGGAGTCTCACTCTGTCGCCCAAACTGGACCTGCTGTGCTCCGGCGATCCTTCCACCTCAGCCTTCCGAGTAGCTGGAACTACAGGTGCACACTACCACACCTGGCTCATTTTTTGATTTATTGTAGAGATGAGGTCTCGCCAAGTTGCCCAGGTGGGTCTCGAACCCGCGGGCTCAGGCAATTCACTCACCTCGGCCTCCCAAAGCGTGGGATTACAGGCTGAGCCACCTAGCCCAGCTTGGTTTCATTTTCTAGTGTTCCTGATTCTCAACATTGCCAGAACCCTTAAGCTCCTGCTACTAATGCAACAAGGTGCTATATTTACTTCAAAAGAGAATTAGATTTAAAATTTCAAATTGAAATGGTCCTAGAATACCTTAGGACAAAATTGAGAATATTGCCCAAAAAAGCTGCTTGTCCTCATTGATGAATAGTACCTAAAAAAATCAATGTCTTATGTGACTATATTTAAAAATTTGAGTATCTCAAAAAAAATTTTAAATATTTATTTATTTTTTTTGAGTTGGAGTCTCACTCTGTCACCCAGACTAGAGTGCAGTGGCAGCTCCCGGCCACTGCAGCCTCAACTAGCTGGGCTCCGGCGATCCTTCCACC